ACACCTACCTTAGTTTTCAATATTCTGTCTATAACAGTCTTTCCACATACTAATCCTCCATTCAAAATAGAGCTGGATAAACTTTAAATACAAAATCATATATGTAAATCCCTGCTATCTGTGATATTTGATCCCCTGCTTTTTTTTGGTGTGATAGGGCTAAAAAATTCAGAAAGAATAATTGAAAGTAGGTACCTTGAGGAAGGAAAAAACCTCCAGCAGCTCATGCACTGGATGTCTCAACACTCTCCCTCTCTGAAATTACACTACCAAAAGCTTTTCCCCTTAAAATGAACCTCAGTAAATATGTTGGCCAATAACCAGACCCACTGCCGTATCTGGATTAAATGTAGAGTGGTCTGAGTGAAAGCAGCACTGATGTCAAAGCAGCACCACCCCTAAGCAAGCGGCTTTAAGGAGACCCGCTTAGAAAGTTTCCAGTAGAACGGCATTCCAACACAAAGTGCTGACTTGATGAAACACAAAATATTCCACAGGAATGTGCTAATTCAGTTAAAACTTTTGAAAGAGGACAGGCCGGCTCACCGAGCCAGCCAACCAGTCTAGTGAGCTGACTGGCTCTCCCCAGCTCTCTGGGGTCACTGGCTTCCCCATCTGGCCAGGTGCCAGGCTGCTAGTCCCTGCTCTCAGAGGGGCCCTTTAATAATAATAATAATAATAATAATAATAATAATAATAATAATAATAATAATGTCTTAAAAAGTGTTCTGAGAAACAAATGAAGGCATTTTAAAACGAAAACCAGAATTACTTCAGAACCAACTGCAACATTTCTTCTAGAGGAATTGGCTGCATTTGTTGCAAAGCATCTAAAACTAGTGCCCCTAAAGATACAAGTCCCTCCTGTGTTTCCTCACTTTTTATAAAACACCTTCCAGTGAAAAAAAAGCATCGATACTGTAACAATACAAAATGAACAATAATTATATTCAAAACCTAAACTCTACCAGATAGGTCTAATCATCAGCAAGGAGTTAAAGGCAAGTTGCTTCCAAAGCACTGAGTGTTATTTAAGTAAATGCCCCTGCCGGACCAAACCACAGGGCTACCTTGTAAGCAACATCTTACGCAGAGTAGTCCCTAAGTGGGCTCCCTGCAAACTTGAACGAGATGGTGCAAGGGGCCTCATTTAACACTTTGGAGAAGCTCAAAGGAATAGGTATGGCTATATAATATTTTAGCAGTGGTTTTCAAAAAAATCCGTCAACTAGCAAGTAACCCACTTTCTTCATAAAACTGGCTTTTAGCAACCTGTGGCTAACCAGTGCATGGGACCTACTCTGGCTTCTCAGCAACTCAGCAAGTAACAGTATGAAGAGAGTTTTTAGTTGCTAAAAAAAGCAAGGCTATTTAAGACAGTAACAACAAACACCACAATGTTTTTGCACAATTCCATTCATTTAACCAGCTTTTGTATCGAAATGCCTAGATATTGGTTCATGCGTGAGCACCACAAGTAATTTAAGAGATACTTGGAACAAAGTTCCACAGAAAAAAAGAAAGAGCTCTTTTTACATGTCAGATTGAGTAAGCAATGAGACCTCTGTTGCAGGCAAGCCACATGATTTTGAAAGACTAAGGCTAATAAAATGTACTGATTTATTTATATGAAAATCAGCATAACTTCCAGCATAGAACTGGGACAAATCTGTGACCACTCTCTTTCAGAAAACACGTGTAAATCAGACAGCTGCCAGAGTCTGCAGTTCACTGACCCTTCCTACTGCCAAATGCAACGCACAAAGGTAGCTCAGAAAGCAATTAGAGATTGGCTGAGAAGACTCATTGGTTTTTTTAAACTTCAAATCACATCTAAACAGTCTTATAACATTTTTCTGGGGGAGACTGTATGCCTCAATCACATTTAAAAAGAAAGAAGGTTTGTCTTCTCAGAATGACAAAATACATACAATTTGCTCCCTGTTGTTTCTTAGAAAGAACAACTAATACATTTACAGTATCATGAGGAAACATCTAGAACAGAATTAGACATAAGCACAGCTCAATCCAACTGCTCAATTTTTAAACATCTCACCACCTGCAAAGTCTAAGGCTCCCTTCAACTACTTGCAACACAAAATTCAGAGAGAAAAGAACGTGAGGAAAAAATAAAAAAGGGGGAAAAAAAAGATGATATTTTTCCTGCTAGTGGTAATAGTACTGGGAAACCACCAGTGACCAACACAAGCAAATGATGCCTACTCGGCTCTATTTGAGTATGTATGGCATAAGGCCAAGATAACAATGAGAAAGTAAAACATAAAGAGATGCCTTCCATTTTGGAAGATGGTATCAAAAGTTGACAGCAGCATCTTTTCTTCTCTCAAGCAAAACTTGAGATGCCCTCCTTATGGCTTATGACAAAAGGGCAGATCCATCACTGATCTCCTCATCATGGCAAACAGCAAAATATACAAGAAAAAAAAGCATGCATATAGACATTCATATGCAATTCTCGGCCTGTAACCATGGCAGCATTAAGTTACCAATCTGCTAGTTAATTCTCTTTCATTAGCCTCATTAAAGGGATCACAGTCATACTACAAAGTAACAACTGAGTGCTGCACAATTCTGAAGCCATAGCCTCAATTTCTTTGTGCTGCAGTAATTTAAATAACCAGCTATACGCTACAATTTAAGATCTAGTCCACGACTCCAGGAGCTAACCAACTAGAGTTATAAGGATCAATGGACACTTCTGTTAAGTGATTATAAGAATGGGACCACACTTCTAAGTAAGTGTCTCTCTCAAACCAGTATATGTAATTTAACAGTTTTCTCCTTTCAAGCTTATATAACCATTTCCTAGAATGAGTTTCTGAGGCTCTCTATACAGCAGACACACTCCTAAATTGAGAAATTACATGTAGCTGGTAGTAACTCATATTGCATTGTCCACAACTGCTTTTGTTGTGTTGCAGATTATCCAGAGAGTGGCTTCAGATGCCACTCAGTTTTTACTTCTGCTCACTTATATAGAAGTTTGTTGACTTAACGGACTGCGCAAAGGTAACAAGATGGCCCAAAGGAGCTCCAACCAGCAGCGTGCCAGCTGAGAGAAACACTGCAGGAAAAAAACAAAAGAGGTTGAATATGGCACCGTTGTGATACAAATGAACATCACAAACAATACTGAGAGGTTATGTTATGTAATTGCCATTTCTTTGAAAAAAAGTTAGTCAGCTGAGTGTGCTCATATGTACATGTAGGGAGCAGCAGGGGCGAAGGGTTTCAGTCAGTCAACTCATAACTTGTGGACATCCCATCAGTTGGATTACCACCAGAGCTTGCTCTCTGCCAGCTTGCCTTCTCCTGCTCTACCCTAACTGATCCCGAATGCATTGTCCCTCCCTGACTGGGGTGACTAGCCTGCTTCTCCCTGATGTTCAACATCCCTCAGTACACAGATTTCTAACAACTTATCTTGGAAAACGCTTAGTCCCAATTTACAAAAGGCAAAACAAAGAGAAACAAAGCCCCTTCGGTTAGATTAAGTCAACCTTCTCAAATATATGTGTGGCAACACCAGGAGAGAAAAAAAAAATTACTTTTCCTGAGTGCTGTGCTTTGAAATGGATTTCACAACTGTAATTATATGATTTGAAATTATTTTTGCAATTAAGGCCAAGCATTATTGCTGTCCAGACAAAGAATAAGGTGGGTCCAACACCCTTCAAGACTTGTTCCAATTAAAAAAAAAACCAAACCAAACAAAACAGCGTAGGATACCATAACAGCAAGGGTGCCAGGAGGGTCAAAGAGCCGATAACACTGCAGGTTATTTATACAATAACTAACTTACATTGGAAGGGACCTCTGGAGGTCTTCTGGTCCGGCCCCTCACTCAAAGCAGGACCAAGTTAGGCTAAGTTGCTCAGGGTCTTGTTCAGTCAATTTCTGATCATCTCCAAGGATGGAGGTTAAACAACCTCTTCAGGTGCCTGCTACTGTGTTTGACCACCCTCATTATGCATCATTTCTACCTTACATTGAATCAGATTTTTCCCTGATGCCACTTGTGACCACTGACTCTCAACTTTTTGCTCTGCACCTCCAAAAAGAATCCGACTTCCTCTCCTCTACAATTTATTTCTAATCACATTCTGTTCTCACATACTCCACATCTGATGACTGGTGAGCAATAAGCTCATTCAGGAGGCACTGTAAGATTTCCTGATGGTAGGGCAGCTCTGCCAAAGCAGGCACTAAGATTTCAGTAATATTTTCTAATTCCTAGTTCTCTGAAACCTTTTTGTGTGCTTGCCATAGAACTGAGCGTCAGCCTAAGCCACGGTGATAGAAAGGTTTGATCCCAACAGTGACAAAAGTCCTGTTTGCCTTGCAAAGGTTGCCTAGAAGGAGAGCTTAGTGGTATGGGGGAAAAAAAAAAAATAGAGCTACAACAGGTGATTCATTTGACATTGGCAAAAGTCTCACTAAACCCACAAAAAATGAAGGTGAGACTTACATATCTACCAGTCCTTATGAAGGACATATGCAATCAGCAAGAAGGAGAAAGTTCTTTAGCTCCTTCAAGAAAGGGTGATTTTCTTGAATAAGGTGCAAATGCACAGTGTGTCAAGTAACAGTCCTTAATAATGTCCCCAGAAGGAGACTTGATTGACCTACCTCACTACTTGATGTCATTAGATGAGAAGACGTTTAGACTACACATATCTCAAGTGGGCACTAAACAGAAACTGACCAATATCTGATCTTGTGGCCAAAAAAATGGAATACCCACACTCAAAAAAGAATAATTTTATATTTGTAGAACAATTCAATAGTGTAAATTATATTGGCAGGCAGTATAAAAAAAGACCAAGTTCTTAGGAACTATTTTGAAAAAATAAACAAGAAAAAAATACACCATTTCTGAGTCCACTGAATTAGTTACCAGAGTATCTTATTAAATAAAGAATTATTATCACTGTAATGTTTAAAATGAATAAATAATTATCAGCTTACTTCTTTCTTACCATTGTAGGTTATCCTTGGTTTTGTCAAACACATCACAAGATGTAAATCCATTTCATCGGAAGATACAAATTTTGAACATACAGGGCACTTGAATCCTATGGAAAATAAAAATATGTAAGCATGAGTATATTCAACCATGTTGCAGATATGTATAGTCAAGCCAAAAAAATATTCTACACACATTAAAAGAAAGAAAAAAAAAATAAAATCTGGCAGCTTTTCAGTTTTGACCTGACATTTCCTACATGAATATAATTCCCCTGATTTCAGATCTCAAAATGGACGACTGTTTCTGCAAATTGATCTGTTGCCAATTATAAATGTGTCACCACCTCTGGAATGCAAAGTTTCCCAACAACTCTAAGAACAGTTTAAGACAAGTGCAAGAGGATAATGTGACTCTACTAAAACAGAAATTAGAAATGTATACAGGACATAGCCATTAAAATCTGAACTTGGGCAAGAACCCTGAATTAACATCTGCACTTTTACCAGGAATAGCACTGAAACTTTGACAAAGGATCTCGGTTTTACATCTCATCATGCAAGCTGCAGCATCTTTTACCAGTCTGGGGCACAGGGAAAACACTAACTCAGGGGTGTTGCCTCACCTACTGAATCACTAATATTTCCTGTAGCACTGAATTTGTTTGACTTCTCTCATCCTAGCCAAGCATGACCTTGTTTAGCTTGTGAGGTCACAGCCTGCGGCAATATGGGGTAAAGAATAATTAAGACAGTCTGGATTGTGATGCAACTGCATAATAGTCCATGACAAAACTGCTTAATGCTTCAATTTATTTCATTACCAAAGACAGCAGTCTTCCAGTTAAAGGACAAGATTGGTTGGACAAGTTTTACGGTCCACAGAAAAGTCTGACTGATTTTGATCTGCTGAATAATTAACACACAAGTGAGAAACAAAAAGCCACCAACAGGGATCTTGATGTGTAACAGCTGTTAAGGAGTATACCTACAGAATAACATACAGCAAAAATATCTAAATCCATGCTCAGTGCAAAGGAGCAACTTTTTCTTTGATGCTGTTGAAAAGTAACGATGCGGGCATGTATAAATGGCCACTGCACCTTCCACCAACATCCACATCTGGGCCTGCTCCCACATGTTTTAGTTTGTTGCCCCTTGCTTTTGTACTTCTAACCTTGCGAGTCCATAATGAACCAAGTTAGTCAAGGATGACAAGTGACTTGATGCTGCACTTTCAAATTACTGATGCCTGAGAATTTTGATCTTCAATATTAATTATTATCCAGATGTAGATCAAGCAACTAACCTGAAGCATTAGCACTTGATAGAAATAATGCATTTCATTTATCAAGACAATGATTTTTATTTTTTTTGTGCAGCTAATAGGAAGCAAGTCAAACCAGACAATTGGTAATACCCATGAGGAACTCTGAGCAGCAGCGGAACGTGTACTGGAAACCACTTCCTGAGATAAAGTACAGTTCTGATTCTTCCCATTTTAGTCGTAAGCAGTTTGTATCTATTTCTTCTTGTGTACCCTTCAGTTTAAATATTGCTCTTCTCTCCTTATTTTCAATCCTCCTCCCCCAACCCACGTCTTTATAAACAACAGTTACAACCACAGGTTAATAAGCATATGACAGCCAAACACATTTGTTGGAAAAAACAAGTTGAAAGGAGTAATTTACTTGTAGAAAGCTTTGTCAGTGACCCTTCAACCACTATGTAGCCTCCTTCCCCCAGGGTGCATCTCAACACGACTAAAATCGAAACTAGTATCTCAGTCCTCCAAACACCCAAACCCACCCATAACAGTTTTGTTATGTTTTTCTTCAAAAACTGACCCAGGGTAAATTTTCTCTCAACCTTTATCAACCTAATGCTGCTGATTACTCTTAAGTCTAGTCCAAACATACCAAGACCCATGCATTGTTCTCATTTATACGCTTCTATAAGGCACAACGGACAACATATTTTGATGTGAAAAAGCATGTAACTTCCTTACACACTGCAGACTGAGTCCTGCTGTGCCAGAAGGGAGTGTTTGCATTACAGCAAGTTAACATTTATGTTCATGGCTAGTTAAGCACCAGGACAGTCATTAACAGGTTCCCTCTGCTTTCTGGACAGAACCCTTCTAGTTTATTCCCTAGGGTCATCAGCACATCTAATTGGGAGTGACAGGGGGCAGGGAAAACCATCAATAGGTCTTTAGAACCACTGCTAAAGTTAACAGTGTTATTAAAGAAGGTACATATCCCAGGAATGCTTGGAGGGAATACTTAAATCCAAATAAAACAGTAGGGAGAGTTTGGGTAAATAATAATAATAATAATAATAATAATAATAATAATAATAATAATGTTTTTACTTAAAACCATGCTTAAAGACAGACAACTGTGAAAAATGTTTCTGGTTATCCACCTAGAGTATTCAGCTGAATATGCTTATACTACCACGTACCTGCCCCTAAACCTAGTAAACAGTCTGCATTCTAGCAATATAGTAAGTATTTTAACAATACAATATCTTGTGGCTTGTCCAGTGTCAAGGGGGATCTGAAGGTAATACTTAAACAAGTACAAATATCCTCCTGACACAGCAAGTCTGGGATATCTAACTGCTGTAGCTCTACTCAGCATGCAGAACAGTACACTGAAGAACCCAAGAAGTAGAGGACATCACGCTTAACTAAGCCTTATGGACCAATTTAGCTGCCAGTGGCAAAGGTATCTGTGGAAAAGATGTTTTTCCAGTGACCAGCATCAGCTGCATGCCAGAGACTAGCATAACAGCAGAAAAAGTCTTGAGCTTGCAACACTTGCTGAAAAATTTTTCAAATACAAGTGCAATCTACCTTCTCATTCCTTCACAACATCTACTGCCATAACGAGATCCTGGATTTAGCCATCTTCCACAAGAGATGCACAGTGTATGTTTTGTGTGAAGGAAATTACTATTTCCAACTCCTTTAGTAACACCAAAGAACAAATTATTTTGACTGTAGACACAATACTTTATTTTTTAACTGTACTTGAAAAATAAGTGAACAATCAACACTGTCCACAAGGCAGTTAAAGGTCCTTTAAAAAAGCTGGTATTTTCTCACCTTTCCTCAAATCAGAAGGCAATAGTTTCATGACCCAGTTTACAATTAAGTACTCCATAAGAACAAAGACTCTATTGTACCACTGCCCAGCAGGCTAATGACATTTATAGCCTATGTTTGTTTTTACCACCAGTCTCAAGGAACAATTCCAATAACTTGAAGAAAGTTTCACATTACTCTAACAATCAGCAACAGGTCAAAAAAAACTTGCTCTCTACATGACTTGTTTTACTGAGTTTTGCAGATAAACAATGCATTCACAGACAATTGGACAACAAAGTGGAAGTAGTCCTCAGATGAGGTGGCATCACGTGAAGTGTCCTCTAAAAACTACGAAACTCAATTAACTACTTTCTCACTCTCTTTACAAGGAAAGCACAAGAGATAATGTATAGTTCTAGGTAAAAATCGAGCTCTTATGAAGATGTTGGTTTCACAACATTCCTTATCCTCATCCAAGATGAGGAACTCTCACCTTTTTATTAGGGTTGTCACTGTTTGTCAGCGTATCACTGCAAAGCTGTCCTTCCTTCTCCCACAGTAGAGAGGACATTGCCTGTGATACAGCCTAAGTCAGAGGCAGAACCACCTCTCACCCCATTCTCTTTCTGTACAGCAGGAGAGAACCGAGCACCAAAACTGAGCAAGCACACATCTCTAGCTGACTTTTACAACTGCATGCTTAAGAGGCAGGAAGACAAATTCTTACAAGCTCCCATCATCTAGTTTCACAACCCTGACTACAATACTGAAAGTAATACATTACTTAAAACAAAACCATAATCCTGGAAAAAAATACAATTACAAGAAAAGAGAGACAGAACAGAAAGTTGCAGTACAGCTACTAGAAAATCCCAAGCTGGCACAGAAAGTTTGAAATAGCTAAACCTGCGCAAGTAGCAGGAGCTAAATATTCAGAGGTGAATTCTCTCTCTCATTCTCTCTTGAATGTATCACTTTCTTCAGACTCCGCTGTCTTTTGCAAATGAACCTCCAGTTAGCCAAGAAATCCCATCTTCTCTCACATCCATCTACCGAACTCATAACTTTCATCTCTGGCAGGCTTGGAAACTATCCACAGTGACAGGTCGATGGGTGGCCACTCACTCTATCCCTACCAGTTTCAACCTCTTACTGATATCTTACTGTGTTTGCCTTGCTTTGCAAACATCAAACTGTTTAACTTGCAGTTCAGTGCATAGCAAAGCAAACAAAAACCATCCAACAAATAACAATCTCCTGGACCTCTAATTTTTGCAAAATCATGTTGGCACTCATTCTGGAATATCTACTTTGTGGGGGGAAAAAAAAGGAGCTAAGAGCTTCCAGACAATACAGTGCAGCGTGTCACAGAATTGCACATAAAAGAAACACATTAAAGCAGTATTAGACTTGCACAGAAGAATGGATGATCCTTTTGGTCAATATTAAACAGTTGTAGCAAGAAATAACCACGAATAAAAGCTGCACCAACACAAAAGACTGCATCAGCCTGATCAGAGTAACCTTTCAGCAGAAAACATCTCAACTGGAACATTGCCAAAACCAAATGAAAAGTATAATGAGACCAGCTGTTCTTTTAAAATAAGCATGCAACATATTAGTATTTTAAGTTTTTGTATCTTTGTGTTTTCAAATAAGATGGACAAATCCATCTTGGTTTACATTTAAAGAAGTTGTAAAGAGAAATCCTTGCACACACATACTTTTCTAAATTGTATTTGACAATAAGAAGCCTGACAAACGTTACTTACGTACTTGCACTTGTTCTTCAGTACTTAGAAAAATAAGTATAGACAATCTGGAAGCACAGCATCCAGGAAATATGATGGTATGAGGGTGGTATGCAAGATTACTGTCACACAAATAAAGCCTGCATAGTGATGCTAAAACAAAACAACACAAATAATCCCCTCCCCCCAATAAACAGAAAAGAACTCACATAATCAGAGAAACATGTTAGAAATTGCACATAAAAGAAACACATTAAAGCAGTATTAGACTTGCACTCAAGTATTAGACTTGCACTCAAGTATTAGACTCAAGAGGTCACCAAGTCTATCCCACACTGGGAAACTGCGTTAAACGTACTTAGAGGACTTAATCTGCCTTTAAAAATCAACCAGTGAAAGATTTTACAGGCATCCTGGACAACCTACAATGCTGATCAGCTATTCCTAGGGAGTTAGAAAAATCTCTTATCTCTAATCTGGCAGCCTTCACTTACAAAAAGGTTGATTACTTCTTATGTGTTCAGTAGACATGGAAAACAGTCGATAACTATCCTCAGTATAAAAACCATGTTCACACTGGAAAAATGTGTGCCATTTGTCTTTTTCCCCTAGCCTGAAAAAAACCCGAGTTACTCTAATCTTTCCTCACAGGCCCTGATGCCTAAACCTTTTATTCCTATTGCTGTCCTCTGGACTCTCTCCAACCTTAACATACTGCATTGCCAAGAACTGGGCAGAGCTTTCGGGCTAAGACTTCCCAAGGCCTAAGCAGAAATTAATAGTTACCTATCACATTGTTCTGTTACGCTAGGGTTGAATATCTATATATAGATCTACCTATACATAGAGATCTCTCCCTTATGTGTGTGTATATATAGGTATGTACATGTACATTTTAAACAAACCAACAGATTATTAGCTCATTCCTCTCATGACCCCTAACAATCCCTAAATCTTCAGTAGAACTGTTACTAGCCAGGTCCCATTTTTTAGTGGTATGTTTTATTTCTCCTCACATTTAGTAATTCTCATTTGTCTTTTTTAATCAATTATGAACACTTTTCTAACATGTTAAAAACAATTACAAACTCCAATTTTGCCCTCCATAGTGCTTTCAGATCTTACAAGCTTGGCATTATATTTCCTTTTTTAAAGTGCCCACCCTCCAAAAAAAGATGATTGAAAATGGACCCAAAGTAGACCACTGTGGTACTTGATTTGAATTGTTCTCCTAGAGCAATCCCACAGGATTTTTTTTTCCAACTATTTCAGTATCCACCTACTTTTTCACCTAGATCATATTCTCTAAGTTTGCTAATGAGAATATAAAGCAGAATAGCACAAA